GGGGGGGGCAGTGCGCACGAGTTGGTCGAGTAATTGGCCGCCGGATCGCTGAGGTGCTCCAGGAAGCTGGGCTCCTCACCGAGGCAGTACTTGCGAAAGAGCTCCATCGTCCGAAAGAGCGTCGTCCGGGTGGGCTTATTGTCGTGGAAAAGGTCCCCTGCGTGCAGGAGGCAATCGACCTTCGGCGGGCGACAGGCGGTGAGCGGGCAAGAAAAGGGACCAGGCGGCAGGGGGGAGAGAAAGAAAGCAACCCAGAGATCCCGGCGCACTTGGTACTTCTTGGCGATTTGCAGCACCTCCTCGAAGGAGTTGAAGGAATCATCCCCACGGACGGAGTCGCTCTCCAGGTACCCCAAGTGGGTGTCGGTAGCTGTGACAACAGCAGAGACATTCAGTCAGCCACTGCGGGGGGGGGGGGGGGGGGGGATTGCTCTTGGCGAGGGAGGGGAAAAAAAGGCGGGGACCGGAACGCACCGAGCAGAATACGTAGCGTGTCCGGGCAGGGCCGGGGACCAGGCGCGGTCGACCCGCTTGCGGGCCCGGGGGACAGACCCATGCTGCTGATGACGATCGAAACCCGAGAGGAGGGAGAAAGGAGAGCGAGGGAGCTTTCAGGGAGGGCGACTGCAGGGGGCGAAGGCGACAGCGGGTGGAGGAGGGGGCAGGGGAGAGGATCATGCCAGCCCCGATGCCAGCATGATGGCCGGGCGGAGGACGCTTTTGGGAAGGGGCGGGGGGGGGGGGGGCAACGCGATCTGCCGGAGGTCCGCCCGCGTCCCGCCTCCTTCGGTGTGCCTGGCCGCCGGGGGCGGTTTCCCTTGACGGATCGGCCGATCCCCGCGTTGGCCACAGACGGGACATCAAAAAGGGGGAAAAAATAAAGAGACCAACAAAGACGCCCTCCGAGAAAAATAAAAGCAGGGCGAGACAACAGAAAAGGGGCCGATCGGGCACGAGGGCCCCACCCTTGGCAGCTTGTTGTTCGGCACGCATACCCAACGGAGTGGCGCTATCATCAGAACGGAATGGCCTTTGCACGGGGCCTGCGTCACGAGCGCCTACCCCTCAATCTCCCATGTATCGTGTGCTGGCCACCGATCGGTTTCGGTCGACCATGCCCGGAGGGCGGGGGCCTGGCCGCCGCACGCACCAGGGACTGCCCATCCCCCCGCGCCCCCCCCCCCCCCCCCCCCCCCCCCGGGACCGGGTCCCTCGGGCCGATTAGGGGGCCGCGGGGGCGCCGCCGCGCCTGCTTCCTTCGTTCACGCTTGCCGGGGCTCCCTTGCTGCGCGCCCCCAGGCTCTTTGGTCGGGCTGGCTGGCGGCCGGCCGGCCAGCCGGCGGCGTCATCGGAGAGGGCTCGACGGGGGGCGGGGGCACCGGACACGGGGCGGGCCGGGGCAAGGGCTCCCCACCCCTGGGGCGCCGATCGGGAACGAAGGGGGGCGGGGCGCGAGGGGCACGGGGAGCCTTCTCTGCTTCGTGCGCGCGGCCCTTCCTCGGGATCTGGCCATCTCCCCTCCGGGCGGGGGAGGCCGGCGGGCTGGGCGACGGGTGGCGAATATATCACCGCCGTTGGCTGGATGCGCGCCGGAGGCGGAGTCTATGGGCAGGGGGGGGGGGAGGGAATAAAAAGGACCACTTTTGGCCGCCAGCCAGCCCTCCCTGGCTCCTGAGAGACATGGAGACACGGTGCGGGGGAATGCGTAGGTCGCCCCCCCCCCCCCCCCC